TTTTTTTCTCTAAGTATCCTTATGACTATATCTGAAAAGGTAATTTAAAAAGTGTTACTACCAGAGTGAAAAACAAACAAAGAAATCCCCATATTTTTATGAGCACTTGTGCACAAAACTATTGTAGTGTTTGGAGAAAACTGTCTCTTGATCATTATAAATTCATCATTACACAGTATATACTTTTGTACTAAAGCAAAAACTGCCTTTAAAAATTAAGTGTTGCCAACTTACTATATAATTCTAGTTATGAGATTAGAGATGAAATTCTTCACTTTTAATTAGAAAAACATTATTTGAAAAAATCTGCCAATAAACATGTCTAAATGTGGTTGCTCATCTTAGTTTTCTTAATTAGAACAGTTGGGAAATGAACAGAACAATAGTGCTTTTGTGTTACAACAACAAGGAAGCATTACAACATCCAAATCTCCAGACCTGGGGTTTAAGTGCTCAGTCGCGGCTCAGTTGCAGACTGACAGAAGAGAAGCTTCGTCCTATGCTTGTACACAATGGGGCGATGAGCACATCTGTCACACTCTTCCATATTGTCTGCACTGAAGGCAGAACCATTAGGCAGGTCTTCACAAAAGGCATTACAATCCTGGAATGGAGGAAGAGAGATGTGTAAGGATTGTTATTGTTACCAAATAACATTGCTGACTCTTGTACATGAACGAAAAGATACACTAATGACCTAATTATATTTGGTTGAACATTTGAAGCAAAGAAACGAACAATGACCACCACAGTGATAAGATACACAAAAGATACATTGCTTAAAAAAATGAAGAGGAATGTAGATGATAAATATTAATATTCTTTCTACTAGTGGCATGCTATCTGAAACATTAAAACAAAAAATATACAAAACTGTATATTTATCTACCTGACCTCTATCCCTAAACATTAACTTGTCTAACTCTTCATATTTTCCTGAGGCTTTACTTCCTTTTAGCCTTTCCTGTTGCCTGTTCCATGTCCCTTCCCCTGGACCAGGATAGGTTGGTTGGATACTTCCTCTTTGTGTTTCTAAAGTACTTAAACACATTTTTTTTTTTTGAGTTGGAGTCTCACTCCCATCGCCCAGACTGGAGTACAGTGGCACGCTCACGGCCACCCCAGCGTCTACCAGCTGGGCTCAGGAGATCCTTCTGCCTCAGCCTTCCAAGCAGCCAGAACTTTAGGCGTACGCTACCATGCCCAGCCAATTTTTTATTTATTGTAGAGATGAGGTCTTGCCAAGTTGCTGGACTGGTCTTGAACCTGCTGGTTCAGGCAATCCACTCACCTGAGCCTCCCAAAGTGCTGGGATTACAGGCTGAACCACCAAGCCTGGCCTAAACAAACTTCTTAATCCTCACATATATCAAAAGGTATCATAAACAGATGCTTGTATTTCTGTGTTTCCACTATAAGTTTTTTTTTTAAGTGATGACCTTAAATCTTGAAACTTAGTCATTTTGATCCTTAGTAATTTTGAGTTGAAATACATTTATCATTCTGTTATGCTTCATATTATTGATAATTTATATTATTAATTTGTCATAGTAATTGTACACACTGAAAAGGGCTGAATAGAATATAGTAAACCCTGTAATTGATCTTAGATCTCAGACAAAAAGATCCCAAGTTTATACTGAAATTATTATTTTTTGTATGCCTTTTCTTAAAATAACTGCATATACTTTTATTCCCTGGATGGTTAATTTTCTATGCACTCCTTCCAATAATGCTCTTTGTTGTAGTAATGCTCTTTGAGCTCAAAAGAGGTTGTGAATTCTTAGGCACAGATGGTAGCCTCAATGGAAACTTTATCACCTTGGTGGGCATAGGGGAATAGGTTGATTTTCTTGATTTGCTGTTAAAATGTGACTTAAATACAGGTCTGCTTGTACTTAGTCCAAAGTGAAAGAATGATTAGGCAACTATCTGATTGATATATTTCTAGAATATAGAATTATTCATACTGAATATCTACACAGATTACTTTAATCTTGTGTTTTATTCCAAGTGTTAGATACATAAAGCACTTTTATAAGAAAATCAATTACTGAGTGTTTCAGAGAAAAACTGAATGATGCTAACTTTTGGCTTCTTATTCCATTATATTTTTCACATGATATGTGGCCTTGGGCACATCACTACAAATTAAAGTGACAACATCTTTAATTTAATATCTTTAAGGACTTACAGAACTTGCAATAAAGATTGACATTTACTATGCACCCCTAAAATGTCCATATGATGCTGTTATGATAATGTATAATAAATAGATGGATTTTGAAGTCAGAATATATAATGAAAACAACTATAACAAAATAGCCTCAAATACTACAAGGTTGAGGTTTAGATCAGAAAGTTTCCTAATCAAATCAATTCACTTAGAATATAATGCACTTTCCTCTCCTTTCTAGACTCAGAAATTTTTTAGCCCCATAGCTCCTTAAGTATTTATGCTCTAAAAGGGGATTAAGTATGACAAAAGTGGATCTTCCAGTTCAGCAAAGTTCAGTTACCCACATTTGAGGACTCAGCTCATAGGGCGTGGGGGAATTCATTTTAATTTTATTTTCTTTAAGTTGTTCTCTCACTTTGGAGGAGAGAATCCAACAATTTTCTGATATCAAACTTAAGTTGGGCTCTCAACTTTACAAATAGTTTCTCTTCTGAAAGTCTGAGCAATTCAGAGTGACCTACAATTTGGTTGAGGCTTTTAAAGTGGCCAACTAAACACTTTACATATGTATAAGGTTATATATTCCTCTATTAGATAATAAAGCCCTAGGACAGAGACTTTTTATTTAGCTTTGTTGTAACCATCGTGTCATGCAGACTGCATTGACATTGCAACTTTCTGTGTTAACAATGTCTTCTAGATACATGATTGCTGCTATAGCACTTTCATCAGTTGATCATCTATTTGCTTTGTATCGCAGCAAAAATAAGAGGTACAAGTTGCGTTTCTTTAGTTATGATTCACTTATGACCAATAACCTCTATTTGACAAACAGCAGCCATCTCTGTCTGACTGTGGTGTGGAATCAAACCAAATCACTGGCCTGTAATGACCTATACTGTCCACATCACCAGATCCCTGGGTTTTGTTGTTGTCGCTGTTATTATTTGTTTGTTTAAAGAGTCTAAAATCAGAATTATCATGACATTGTTACTTGTTTCAACATTCCATTACTGCGTATTTTCATAGTTTTGGTCACTACCAACTTCTTTTTTTAAAATTTTTTTAATTTTAAAGATGTGGGTACAATTCAGGGTTAGGTATACAAATGTTCATTATGCAGGTACTCTAGGTGATGAGGTGTGCCCCTTCCCACTGCCCCCTGCCCCCGGCAGATTCCCACTACTGCCAATCCCACCTTACCCCAACTGCCAACTTCTTGGTAAAACAATAAACAAATCCCTGCTTAATATATATATATATATTAAAAAAAAAAATGCTTCCCAAAATGGGTTTGTTCTCCTCTAAGGTCTTTCCTTGATCTGTTATTATTGTGACCCAGGAATGTAATCTATTAATGATAAACCTATTTTATTAAGGCAACAAACGAACTTCTGAGCATTCTTGTTTGAAATGACTCCTCCACTGCAATCACAGCTGCCTGATGACATATGCATGACAGTTAATATTAATGTCCCACATGAATGTAATTGGAAAAAACAAGGTGAAGTTAAATAATACATTTTATGTGGCTAAAAAGAAGGTGGGTTGATGATTCACCAGTTGAAGCAGAACATAAGAATGTTTTCTGTTCTCAGAAGAGCCAGCTGGAAAGAGGCAATATGTGGTTAATTCTAGTTTTACTTACATTTTCCCATCATCTAGTAAATAAAAAACCTTTTTCAAATTGTTTTATAAAAGCTTTGGGGAATCCTAGCTTTGTTCACTAGAAATAAAGCACTTTGGATTTCCAAATAGTTTCATAGCCAGCATTTCACAAAATGCAACATTTTACAAAATGCAGCATTTTACAAAATGCAACTCAGTGTTTCACAGATAGATGGATAGATGGATGAATGGATGGATGGATGAATAGACAGATAGCTTCCTGGGCTTAAGTGATCCTCCTGCCTCAGCCCCCTGAGTAGATGGGACTATAGGTGCGCGCCACCATGGCTGGCTAATTTTTTTACATTTTGTAGAGATGAGGTCTCACTATGTTGTCCAGGCTGGTCTGGAACTTCCGGGCTAAAACATTACCCCTGACTCGGCTTCCCAACATGCTGGGATTATAGGCGTGAGCCACTATGCCTGGTCTGTTTCATATTTTTGAAAGTGAGAAAATTGACATAGAGGTTAGACATAGAGGTTTTTAGTTAATTAGGAATCCCAAATTTTTTGTGCTGACTTAGGCTTCTTTAAAAAAAAATCCATGTGTGAATGTCAGAACACAAGATAACTATATAACCACACATCTAACCTTTGTGACTCTGATATGTACAAAGGTAAGCATTTTCATTTCTCTGACAATTTTCTGGCACTTTCAACATAGTTTAATTGTTTACAACCCTTCCTGATCAAATTAAATCTATTGTTTTTTGTGACTCTTCTACTTTTTAGACCTCTTTTCTTCTACAAAGCCACCTCCATTCTGTGTTTTCTCAGCACCTATCTCTGTAGAGAACCAGCTGCCTTGACAGGCTGTAAGCTGAAGGCAGATCGTATGTCTCATTTATCCTGAGCCCAGTGCCCAGCACAAACTAAGCACTCAATAAATTTAGTTTGTTTAACTAGCTAGCTAACTACCTTAAGAAATTAAGCGTCAAATGATAAGGGGGCATGATGAATCATTTGATAACTTCCAACAATGAACGCTGACCATGAATCAGGGTATGGCAATATCATATCAATTGGTTCATCTCACCAGGACTAACCAGAAGCACTAGATTGTCAACGGTTGTGATACAGGGGATGATCTGAATATTCTTCCTCTCAGATTAAAGTGGATATTTTTTAACACAACAACAACAAAACTTCCAGGTAAAATAAGACATTTTCCTTTAAAAAATGTTTAATGCTTAAAAGCGTTCTCCAAAGTTTTATGATGCATTTTGATTGTGGAGAAAGTTACTCAAGACATCATATCGATGTCCAATGGGGTTCCATATTCCTTTTTCCTTGAACTAGATGCCACCCCTATTTGTCTCATCAGTGAAAGAGTAATTTAGAGGTCTTCTTATTCACTATCCTGAATCTCGGGCTTTCATTCATTTGTGCTGAGGGGCCCTCACCTTAACTGCATACACCTCCTATCTCTTTTGGTTCCATCCTTGCTATTGGCCAGGGACACCCTCACAGCCAGCCCCATTCAATTGTGTTGCCAGTTGCATTCTACTCAGAGACCGCTTTTGTTTTACCTCAAGCACACGTAGTGACTGAATAAAAAGTAACGAAAGAAACAAGAGCCCTGCCCAGCACCACAGGGACAAGTCACAACAGGGACCCATGGGAGAAGCCTGTGGCAGAAAGCACAGCTTCCAGGTCTCCACCTCCATACTCAGCTCAGCCTCATGAACGCGAAGGAAAATCACACCCAAGGAAAAACGGCCATTCCTTCTTCTGTGTAAGCTCCAAGTCCAAACTGTTATTCTAGAGACAGAAAGACTCGGCCTTTCAAGGCCTTCCATTCTTGCTACTGCCTGGGCAACTGACGCGCGTTCTTCCCCTGCAACCGGCCTGGGACACCGGAGGGCAGGGGGCAGGTGGCAACGAACGCGGCTACGTTTCAGAAAGCCGGGGTCCACCCGGGTGTGCCCTTTCTCACCAGATGTGCAGACAGCTGAGGGTGGCAAAGAGGATTCCCGCGGCGAAGGCCAGGGGGATAGCCAGGAACACCGTCAGGAACTTGTACATCACGTATTTGCAGATCTCAAAGAGGGCATGGCTGCAGATCCAGACTTTGTCGAAGGAGTGCGTCGTCACCGGCTCTGCGATCACATCCTCGAAGCCCAGCTGCGGAGACAAGACGCGGGGACCCCGAAGTGTCACCCACCCCGACGCCCCGGAAAGCGGGAGCGCTTGGGCCGGGAAAGCAAGAAGGAAGTACGTGGCTGGGGTGTCCCCACCGTCTCTTAGGGTCACGGGGGGCGCACAGGAATTTGGCAAAGAATTCCTGGCGACGTAGGTGGCCTGCCGGCAGGTGGGACAGAGGGAGGACGCGGGCTCCAGACCCTGCGGGGCTGAC